CGGAAAGCATTCTACCTATGTGCCACCGACGCACTTTCTTTTGCCTCTAAAAGCGCCTAATACTAAATGACTTGATTTTTATAAATAAAAATAATATTCCCCACTATTAGATGGTTGGAGGTAATCGACAGAAAATCTTGGACACTTATGTTTTGTGCTTATTGGCGATTGTCAACAAGACATATCTACAATCTTGAAGCAGCTCATGTCCCCTCTGAGATTCGAACAAGTGCCAACGAGTACGAAACCTAGATCTAAGGCTTCTTGCCGATCGCCTCCAACCATCTCATATAAGCAATTCAGAGTGCACTGTGATAGTGAGCCACCTAGAGTGGTGGCACATTGCAAACTTGACTGATAGAATTCAGTCTGCACCAAACAAAGAACTAGACGCATAACACTTAGTGTCCAATCAAAGTAATAGTCCCCATTCTGTACCAATTTGTTGCCCATAAACCCATTTCTGGTTTACGAAACTGCTACCTAAAACTTACAATCTTAATGCCATATCTTGGAAACATTCATTTTGTTACCATGAGAATATATATATAATTTTGATTATAGCTTGATTCCACACCGTATTTTTAGGTACAGGTATGGAATTTTTAGCATGTGATATCGGCAGCCCAAATTTTGCAGGCCGACCATAGATATCAGGTGTGCGTCGGCAGGGGATCGAACCCCGGACGATGTGCATGGTCGGCGAGAGTCCCAACCACTGTGCCACCGTCGCACATATATATGTGCGATTGTATGGCTTGAGATAGATATCACTGAAAGGAGTAACTCTTCTTTTTATATTTAAATTTTTACTACTGAAGTAAATAACTACTGCGTCGTGTTCCATGTATGTTCATGTTATGATGGATTGTAGGGTTCGCCAAACTTAACTAGAATGCGCTTCCAGACACGGTGCAATAACCAACTGATCACTTGAAAATATCCTCCACACTGAGATAGACACAAAAGTCAGTCAACTGCGGCAACAACAACAACGTTTATTAAACAAAAGTACGTGGTATATCATTTTCACAAAACCTCAGAAATTTAAGCCATAAATAAACTAATCAGAACTGTCCAATCAGGTTATCATAGTAGAATATGCATAAATCATGACTGATAACGAAGCGTGTTGATCCCAAAAGTTCAGAACTTCAAGGGGTTGTTTTTTTAAAAGGTATCATTGTATCAAAAACATTTGTGTATGAGAATTTACATCGACAGAGAGTTAGTGATTGTTACATTATATGGATCTGTTCGTTGTTTATAAGGTATATATATATATATATATATATATATATATATATATATATATATATATTAGTGGCATAAGTATTTGATATTTCTAATTCATTTGTTATCGAGGTTAATTATACATAATTTGGTGTTTTTATTATTGCTTTGTTTCTTAGGTTCAACTGAGACAGCAACGAGAATACCCACCGATTTATTTGCTACTGAAGAAATTTTTAGACTTTTATATTGGAAAAGATCAAAAGTAAAGCAAGCACGTTATATTAATCAGGTCTGTGTATTTTTGAAAAAAACCAACTTGTCTTTTCTTTCTCCTCACCTTATTATTATGGCTGTGATATTCCGTTAATGCGTAATAAATATTTTAACTTCTTCAACACGTCTTCTGATAGTTGTAGTCTTGTTGTGATAGTTGGGCTTGTATATCGTATGTTGGTTAAAAGAATTGATCTAAGAGGTTCTACTTACCATGACACAAAGGTCGATTGCCTAACCGAAGAACTAACAGCAGTTATCGTTGTAATGTAAATGGCTTACAACATAATAAAGCTGTCAGATCAAGGTCGCAAGTCAGTTATACTGTGTTGCTTACCTTATCTAAAAGTTCTTTAGGCACTGCAATCAACAAGTAGTCAGTTTTTCAATCACATAAAACACGAAGACATCAGCTTCTACAGTTTGTGAAACACGAAATTGTCAACTGAACATATACTTCTGTTAGCGCTCGAATAGTGTCTTCACTATTACTCTCTATTCTGCCAGCGAATTAATCATCCCTTTAACTTACCATCTTTCAGACATTGTTAGTGACCTCATTTCATGGATTAGCACACCTAGTATCTTGAAGCTGCACTCTAGTCCAGCTGTCAGATTTTCCAATGCCCAAGGTCCGCTTAAAGTTATTTAACAGATTCCGATAGTCGAACCTGGTCCTTCTGCAGTCTGTATATGTGAAGCATAATCAGACGATCAAAGTGCGATACCCACCATCTTATTTTCGCTTGATCAGGGTAGGCTATGATTAACAAAGGATGAAAAACCAAGGTTTGACAGCCTCTCAAATATAGATATAGGATGACTGAATCTTTGTTGGTAGTCCGTCGTTAGCTGTTCGGTTGTCTGTATAACTGAAACTAGGAGTGATGGTTATATGCACCTATATGTTTTGGTAACTTTTATTCTTACAACTTCGGACGGGAAAATGTATCACAGAACATCCGATTCTTGTGGAAGTTAAAAAATCTGCGAGCAGTCTAAACTGGATCCGGATATAATGATGCATTTCCATAAGTATGCGAGGTAAGGTAGTCACAAATTATTCCCTGCGACTGTTTTCAAGTGTGAATTGCCTATCTTCAGGAGGGGATGAAATCAACATTGTGATGACTATGAAAGAATTGGCGTTGTCAATATGGCGTAATCTTAGCCGAGGAAGAGAGAAAGCCGACTAAATTAGGCTGTTTCCAGACCCAGACGTGAATGTGTCCACCAGTGTTTTAATTTCGATTAAGTTCTGAAATAAAAGCATCTAAAATTATCTGTGTATATTGATCTGAAGACTATTGTCGAGCAAAGAGCAACAGCATTTGACTTAGATAGGTACATCGATTGTTATCTGTGAAGAAATTCAACTCCGTTTAATTCAACTCATGTTTCTACGAAATCCTTTAAGGCGAAGACATGTCTTCCGAGTAATTTGGTTGACAACCTGAACGTTTTCGATGCTTTTCTGACATTCTGAATATAATTTCAGGACCGATTTGCTTAGATTGAGAAGGCTTGATTGGCTGTTACCATGACACTAATTGAACTCTCTTGACGAAAACGTAATTACAACGGACTGCGACACATAAAATGTAAATTGCGTTAGCGACTCAGTGGTACTATCAGTCTTTACGTAGAAAAAGCGACCAAAGACGTTTGTTTTGTCATTGAGATGAATTTTGAGCTGGAAATTAGGATATAAAGAGCAAATCTGCAGTTTAAGACAGCCTCGTTGGTGCTTTACCTATCACACCACCTTACATAGCGGCATGTGAATTGTAAAACTGGCACCACGGTAGGTCGAAATCGGAGTGTGTTTCAATAAGTGGAAGATAAAGGCACTATAGATTTATTCTAAAAATTCAGAACAGCAATTAGCAACTGAATTTCCGATCAAATAAATCAAACGCTTGGGCCACACATAATATCCAGAACACAGGATTTGTTTACAGTACGGTCTATTACAGATATAGTGTATCATTACACTATATTACGAATAATAATAAATACGAATTACAAACCTGAAGTTATAAGGTGTCTACGTCGAATATCACAAAAAAGTTGTGTTAGTGACTTCATATGATTATGAATAATAATTTGTGCTCGAAACGTGGTCATCAGTAAATATTACTGTATAACACTGTGTGATTTTATCAAAATAAAATCTTATCCATAATGGAGTGAAAAGCTACTTCTGTTAAATAGTCTATACTTTACTGACCTGCTGCATTTGCAACACAATACAACGACCGTAAATGCAAAATGATTCTATTCAGTGAAAGATTCATTATTCCTACCCATATATAAGGAGAACAGAAAACGTTTCACTAACTTGTCACCCAATGAATATGATGATGAGTCGAATTGTTATCGTAATAACACGAAACAGTGAATCAACATCAAAGTGGTTTTATAAAAACCCAACCTCAGAAGTAGGTGACTTCAAATAAAGAATCGTATTTTAGTCTTTATCAGTGTCACATTAATAACTCTTTTAGAAAATAACCCTTTGTAGATGGACTAAACGAGATTGATCGATTATACATATCCACTTGAGGAAGTACTTTAAATGAACATCGCAGAAATAGTTTAAAAGGCGGTGAAGAAATGCTAAGTCATTTCTCTTCAGCCAATTTAAGGAGTGATATAGTATCCAAACACTTGAAGATAACAGAGTGATAATTAGTCCTATAGTTTCCCAAACGTATCACGAACATCAGCTAGCAGTATGTAAACACGATGTTTTATTGTTTGTTTTAAATGAAAGTCAGTAAATAAAATCACAACTTTAACTGCAAGCATGGCATTCAATCGATACGTGGATATAGACCCAATCTAACGTCTACTTAGAAAGGAGATTAATAACCTCGTAATCAATCAAATGGATTAATAATGGAAGACGAAAATACTAAGTGACAGAGAAGAATTACTCGACAACAAATAATTAATCTTTGTGTGACTCTCCTGTTCCAATTATAATTGAACAAAGGTTAAACGAAAGGGGGAACCTCTGAATGAATATATAACTAGCATGAATAGTGGTAAAAGTCAAAGCTCCGGGAACACTACACAACTTTCAATCTTTATTCACAACTACAAAATCTTTTCTATTATTCTAATGTCTATGAGCGTCAACAGGCATTCTATAGCAGTCTACTGAAGGCAAGAAAACAGGTACCAGTCGTGTACACGTTGAAGATGAAGATTAAACAAAAAAACTTATGGGCACTAAGTATTTTTATAGCAGAATGTCATTTTTACTCAATTAATTACGATGTGTTTTTCTAGAAGTGCATACTTGATTACCTTTATTACTTCAATGGCGATCATCACATTACTGTAGCTGAGTGCCACAGTAGCAATAAAAAGCATATTTTGTACTGGTCTCTTGATTCGCATAAGCACACCCAGCCAAAATGTAAAATATGTGTTTCCTTCAAGGACGGAATGCTGGAAAATACACTTTGGAACTTAACTGTCAAGTCTCATCTAATCAGATATACTTTCTGCCACATAATTCACCCATAACCATTCCATTGAGAATCTAAAATAATAGAACGGTGATGAAACCCTCCAACCAATCAAACACAATTCCTATAAAAACCAATACTTGAGAACAGTGAGTACTTGTATATGCTGTCTCATATAATTAATTATTCAAATAATAATAAATCAATATCACTGTACAAAACCTGAGCACTTTAGTGTTTACGCTTTTTATGTGAATGATTTTGCTTATTTTTCTGGGCACGCTGCTTTTGTTTTTCACGTAGTTTACGTTGTTTTAATATTTGTTCAGGTTTTCTAAGTTGACCGAATGTTCGAGATCCTTTTGGTTGACGTATTTTTTGTTTTTCTGTAGCATTTTGCATACGTTCTTTTTGACGTGCAATTGCTCGCTCATCTAGATTAATTTAAATAAAAGGAATAAAAGAACAAAATGAAAACAATTGATCGACGATATATCTGCAATCACATAAGTACAAAACACCGTCACATCATGTACTGAAATACGGAGGCGGTAATTTAGGGCTTAGGATATTCTAGGATTGACTAGTGAGTATCAGTTTCAAATTCATTCAGTTCGGGGAAAGAGAATCATAAGCGAACCAAAATGAAACTATATGTGCATCATCAAATAGAGTATAGAAGGAAGTCAAATCTTTGAAAAGGCCTTGGACAACGTTGACTGAGAAGTAATTCCGAAACTAATTTAACACTATGGAGTGCCCTAAATCTTTATTAACCTCATTCAAGGCTCCCTACTATCACCAACGGTATTCCTAATTGTGACGGACCGGATTATGCAGTAGACTGTGGGGAGCGAGAAAATACATTTGATTGAGGAAAAGATACAAGAAAATCTGAACTTCGTGAACGATTTATACCTGGTGCCACACAAACTCGAAGATTCACACGTGAAATTCACAAGTTCGCAGAAGAACAAGCAAAGACAAGACTTCAATTAAGCATAGAGAAGACAGAGGTGATGAAGATAACCAACCACCAACAACAAGCACCAATCGCTATCAACGGAATAAATTTGATCGAGGTCACTTCCCCCATTTATCCAGGCAACATCGTTTTAACTACAGGAGACTACACTGATGAGGATGTCAAAACCAGAATCGGAAAAGGAAGTCAGACCTTCATCATTCTGATATTAGTTTGGAAATCTACAGCATTCAGCACAAAGGAACAAGATTCGAATTTTCAACACAAATGTTAAGTCAATTCTTCTATGTGATTCAGAAACTTGGCTCACGAGTCACAGAAAGCATTTCTGACAGCCTACTGCAAACTTTTACCAACAGCTGTCTTTGCTCCATATTGAAGATCATGTGGCCAGAAAGGATTAGATACAACAAGTAATTTTGACAAGAACCCTTTGTACAACAAATATACGGAAGAAAGTGAAGATGGCGCGGATGATACAAGCTGAGAAAACCGTTGGGTGGCATCGTGAGCCAGTCCTTCAATTGGGGCCCGAAGGAGAAACGATGAGTTAGGCGTCCGAGGGTGATATGCAGGAGATCGTGTGAGGAAGATTTAAAAGCTTACTGGTAATCGTAGGACCAGCTAGAAGGGACTGTAAAAAACAGTATAAAATGGAGATTTGCTGTTGAAGCCCTATGTTCCACACGGAACCAAAGGGAATAATAATAATATATACTTCCACTTGAACAATAGAGTGGTATTCTACATCAAATGTAGCTCATGGTCTACGAAGACAGTGAGAAACTTTGATATTTTGTTTTTATTCATGAGCAGTACCTATTGTCTGTGAGTAGATGGAAACAGACCGAACTAAATTGACAGGTGAACAATCTCCTTTGTACACTACTTAGAGTAACACAAACCAACCATCAATATAAGGATGTGAAGAAATGAAAATGACTATTGGATCTGGTAAAGGTTGAAAACTAAGCACTGGAAATATTGTAAGGATTATATAATTTGTAGTACAAACACTGTACAACGAAAAAAACTTACGCCACTTATGCGGTCCAATCACTGTAAATTTAGGTGCCAAATGTTCAGAAGATTTTTGACCTTTTTGTCTATTCTTCTTAGCTGCTCCACGGAAATGATTATCACCTTTATCATCTGTGTCGGGGAATTCAATTACATCACCATATTTCATAAATTTCGTACGGTTCTCTGATGCTGCAACAGCAGCAGGAGAATAAGAATCTTCCTCTGTAGATTTTGTTGATGCTGCTATAATATCTGCTTTAGACTGTTTAAGCCATTGTTCATACCTCAAAAGGAAAAGTAAAGGGAAAATCTCACCAGTACATTTTGTGTATATACACCATGAACAGTGAGTGATATTCATTCTTGTTTATCAATACAATAATAACTAGTGCATTTTTTATCTGATTCTCTCCGCAAGCAGAAGTTTAACGACAGAAGACAAGGGTCAGACAGCAGATTGTTTATTGAGAAAATCAAAAGATATTCATAGATTTTTATGTACGTTACTATTCGTTATTGTTAGCAGAGAAGTAACGTCTTCTGATTGGCTGTTTTCTTGCTGAAGGTTATTCTGTCATCTCTTTGTTGCCGTTTCTTAGAAGGTCAGGCAAAGTATCTGCGAATCGTATTTGCACACGTTAAGTTTGCTGTGATTGGTTGGTGAGTTCCTCAAGGTTAAGCTTTGTTATTGTCTTTTCTCATGACCCCGATTCAGGACGTGAACATTATTGTCTACAATTTTGGCTAGCAGACAGCTCTCACCACAGAAGTACCCTTACTGTATTTCATATTTATGGATAGAACTTGTAGGATAGTACTAAAACTGTTTACCCTATGGAAACTACGTAACACTAGCAAGCATTATCAAACTTAAAAGTTCCTATATTATAGGCATTTATGATGGACAATGTTAGCTGAGGTGGTCAAACCAAAGCCTAGCAGCAATCTATGAAGTCTTTTACAGTTGGTGTGGGCTATTTGGGGAGTTGTGGGATTGCCTGGTTGGAGACTATTGGTGAATGACTCAAAATGGTTCTCCATGGTACAAATGCATTCACTTTTTACGATCGCCCTTATTCATTATACCCTCATGTTTTTTTTCTATATTACCATTCTTTCTCCTTCACATTTCTCTTTATCACAGTTCTTTTGAATCTGTTTTTTTCACTACCTTTGTGTGTTCAGCGGTGTGGCAATTTGAATTGTTACACTGCTGTGCAAAGTTCTACGTCGTAACTCAGTCAGTCATTTATGACCCAATAATAATAATATTTATTGTACAATATTTCTAATGATCAGTAACAATATGCCAGATTGTATGAATTAAAAATAGATTAAACTACACAACACACAACAAATAAAGGTTTCTATAGAAAACAATCTATCAGAGGATTATGTCGGCGACAACTGTTTGATACTGCATCACCATGCACGTTGCCTTTAACAGTTTGGAATTAATTAATTGATTGCAATTAATTGTGAATTGAAGAAGTACCAATAAATGTTGATTATATGTGAGATAATTATGCAATCTGACTTTTGTGAAGGAATAATTGTTTGGAAAATCTCTCCTGACCGAGGCGAAGTTAAACTATCATAGCTCAAGTCAGGATCTGTCAAAGCTGATCTTCGAAAACTAATCAGATTTAGGGAGTACAATGTGAAAGGTCATTCCAAATCATATCATGCCTACCTTTTTGAATTTGTCAAGGATAGATACAGTATTCTACCTATTCCTTAGGTACTTTCTCTGTAAATCTATACTGTTAGGGTTGTGTTTCTCAAGTTTCCTTAAGTTAAGGTTAAGATTAGGCTTAAAGTCAGGATTATGGTTAAAGTTAGAGGCAAGTTAAGGAACAGTGTCAGATATACCAATGGATCTCAAAGTACCATGGTCTACAGTCACCTAGATGAATACATCCATAGCGTACGGTATGATTTCCGTAGAGGATCATCCATGTAGTGATTGGGAGGAATTTTTACAACACATAAGAGACAATTATCTAGTGTAATATCATGTTTGCAATTTTTTTAATGCATTTTCAACGATTATGCGACTTTTTTGCATCTGAATTCTGATTGGTCATTCAAGGTCACTGTGACTTTGGCTATGACAGTTTAACTTTGCTCCGACTGATCTAAATACAGTACTGATACTTATTTGGATATTTCACCATAATGGATATTTCAGCTGACTTTGTAATTATTTTCCTATTACCTCCGAGGCTATAATATCATTCCTCTGACGTTTGTCTTTGTTCCTATTTAATCTTTCATTTTAATGCTTCTCTTTTTGTAGTCGTGATGATACTGTAATGTGTTATTTCGTTTGAGTGAGTCAAGGTCATCTTGACCTTGGGTTGCCAGCTGGAATTGTCGGTGAGTGATTTTCGCTGACACAGTCTTGGTCCCAACACGTTGGGAATATTCTACTTGATTCTGAGGCATTTTTCACGGTTGATTTGGTTAAATGATTTTGTTGTACAGTACTTATTCTGTACCCGAGAAAGAATTGAACTTATATAGCTGCTTAACAGCATTGTTGACGTAATTTTGACTATTTGATGTTATTATTGTTAAATAGTACCCTGGATCTTATGTCAAATAACGGTCTTTTTGCTGTTTTAGGGCATTTTGCGACTGCGCATACCTCAAGGGAGTTCAGGCTAGTTATACAGGAGAACGAATAGATTAGTTTCCTTCGTTCAGACCATAATACGGTGCGTCGGTGGCACAATGGTTAGGACTCTCGCCGACCATGTACATGGTCCGGGGTTCGATCCCCGGCAGACGCACACCCGATATCTATGGTCGGCCTGCAAAATTTGGGCTACCGATATCCATGCTGAAAATCCCATACTTGTACTGAAAATACGGTGTGGCATCAAGCTGTAATCGAAAATATAAAAAAAATAAATACCTGGGTTTCGGCAATTAAAACTGCTGAAGAGTCCCAAACTAGGACGAAACAGCTGTCCAGTACTCCCAGGTTTTCCAATGGTTCTCTAACTAATGTCAGCTCATGATGAAAATCCTGTAACCAATCAAATCCCTACAAACCAACACTTGAATTAAAACTTTACCTATAAAACTTCAGGTTTAAACAACTGTATGTTAGTCTATACGCTAAAAATGAGCAGATATGCATTTTATAGGGGAACAATCTACATTAATAATCATGACTTACTTATCTGTTTTATATGATGCAGGAATCCATATTCCACTTTCCGTTTTGATACGTTTCATGTTTGCTTTGCCTTGAGCAGCATCTGCTCCTGTAAATCGTTTACGTTTACGATCCCAAACAAGCTTTCGACTATGTGATCCTTTGACACCACTGAATTATCAATAGATGAAATATGAGTATTAGTCTTACACTAAACGCGTAATAAAAGTTACTCAGTTATGAAACATTCTGAAGTCAAAAAAAATCCTTCAGCAAAAATATTTCACTGTACACTAGATGATTGGCATAAAAGAACTGAACCAGTTAAATATGAGCGTAACTTCCATTCACCTCCCCCCACCCCAAAAAAAAGTCAACTCCCACGATGTGGGCAATTAGTGAAAGTTCACCCACCCACACTCTTCCATTAGCATACGAAGTTTTCTTGTCTTCATCTTTTTACTTTCCTCTTTCTGCTAATACTATCGACCAGGGTCTCTTTATCTTTTGTTAAATGTGTGACCATAGCTTGTAACTTCAATCACCATTTCTAGTCTCTTAAAACCATGCTGCCAACTTCGTATTGCATCGTCCAATATTCGGACCTTATGCGACATCTAACAATAGGCATTACAGACCTTTGGATGGATATTGTACCTCTGAAAAACACATGCAAGACCCGAGTGTCATTATTCACTCCACGTCACTCATTCATTTACTAAATTCACTCTGAGGGTGAGAATTTTTGAATAATTCTCAGGAATTTACTGGTGTACGGATAGTATCAAGCTTAAGATTAGTAGACTCAGTTCCTGACTGGATCTCAGTAGACAACCTGTGTCTTGCCTGGCTATATGGGTTCGTGCAAAGCAAAAAGGGGTCATGATACTCATCCCTGCTTTTTCATTACCTATACTTACGCATCAACTGACAGTAATTCGGAAGAAGTAAAGGAGAAGTTTTATCAAAAGCAGGCATGCGATTCAGTGCAGTGAAATGTTGGATAAGTTGGTAATGAAAGCTCAATTCTGATGGTAAATGCTAGTCTGGCATTCGCCAACTAACGTCATCTATGGCACTGAAATAATATTCAATTGCCTATCGAAGGATGCATCTGCTATGTGGCAGTTCGCTACTTCCTAATTTGCATCTGTCAGATACCACCATTGAAACTTGAAGTTATCAAAAGATCACATGTCTTTGACCGCATATACCTTCAAACAATCATCCATAAGATGGAGCAATAAGTTTTGCAGTAATAAGGTTGGGTACGGTGCTAGATTAGAAAGTAAAGTCAATCAATGAGATTGTGAAGATGCGTTGATTGGGATGGTTGGGAAATATCTTAAACCTACCAAACCACTGCCTTCCACGACAAGTGACTTTACCTCATGTTGGGTGACATAAGAAGAGTTTGTGGAAGTCAGACAAAAACATAGCATCACTCCATGAAGTCATTGGTTGTTGGTCTTAATCATATATAGGATGGTTTTCACCGTTAGGCTGCTGTCCTCTGGATGTTATTGATCGATGGTGATATGACTTTAAAAAAATAGTACACAACAGCACTTCTATTCATCCTCCGGATTTTAAGAAGTTTTCACAAATCTTTATTGAATGATCTCCTCTGCTTACTTACTCTGCTTCATTTATTTTAACTTCACTATATATTTGTTTAGTCTGTTATTTGTGCTTTCTGTAGTGTACCAGCTTCAAATCATGTACTTTCGCTCATAGATCAGTCAATAAAGAGTTGATAAGTCGATAAGCGCATTGCTACAAGAGATGACCTAAACAATTAACACATGTTATTCAAAATTAGTACTGCTTTATTGTATTTCTTTGTGTTCCGAGTGGAACGTAGCGCTTCCAGTTTCAGCTTTCACATTTCAGTAGCAGTGATTTTATGTTCACGGTTGAGGTTACTAGCCACAGTACCAACTTTCCATCCTTACTGGGTTTACTACAGGCCAAGCAGTGTCTATGAGTTCGTCGGCCAGGGACAAACACCGCACTACATGCGTTGGTGGCGAGTGAAACAACTGCTGCTACAACTTTACTGGAAAACAGACGCATTCATAATCGTTTTTAGAGAAAAATAAATAACACTAACCTTATTTGCTGTAACTCATCGGTCGGTAGATCTAAAGATGCAGCAGCAGCTTCTAAGCAGAATTGATTTTTTGTCCCAGTAATAGACAATCCACTTTCTGTTATTTCATCACCACGGGAATAGGGAACAAAAAAATCGACATCTTCCAAATTTTCGGACATATCATTTTGTGTATTGCAGGTACCTAACTGATCTGTCAGTGAAACTTTCTTTTCCATCAAGTTCTGAAGAAGAGTAAAAGTGTCGCGAATAATCAGACATTTGAAACAGTTATACAACGATTCAAGCTTGATACACAGTTTACATGTTATGTAATATGCGAAGAATTCTAATGTTTCAGGGACAATGCACTCTTTTAAACCTTTACCACAATATCTTCAGAATATTACATGACGAATAGAACATATGTTGTAAATTAAACATAAAGTTTGAATACCTTTCAGTGAAGAAGAATACAAGATGTAGAAGTAAAGTAAAAAGAATAAAATTAAGATATTCAATTACTAGATGAACAAAATGGCCTTAATAGTCAGTACATGCTGTGTGCTACTGACAAGATTTATCAGTAGTATATAGATGCAGATCGATGGGAAGCGGCCAAAATTGAAATCAACATTTCGATTCAATGACTGCAGAGGTGGAGGTGTTTACGTTGTGGAGATGAAATAATCTCATTGGACAGCTTTCTGTCTCGTCATTTAACCTTGGGTCAATCACCAACCAATCAGAACAGCCTATTGTCCGCTCACCTAGCCAGCTTTTAATTTAGTTAAAAATGTAAAAATATGATGTGTTTTTCTGTAATAAAAAGCTTCTTTACCAGCTCTGTAATTCAGTTTTTAATCAGTAATTACTTGGTTCTAGAGAATCAAAGCACAAAGTCATCAATTTTCTACAACTTCATGGTTCCGTGTTGTGCCAGTGATAATGACAACCAGTTCTTTCGAACGAATATTTCATTGTTATTTAGTATTGCATTGATAAACAAAGCTGTTACATTTTTTCTTCCAAAAAGGCAATATTAAACAGTACGTGTTCAGTGATACAACTCACTTTCAGTTCATTTTTAACTGGGCCTACAGCTCGCTGAGCAGCACGACGTGCTATTATATGATCGTGTAGTCGCCGTTTCTTTGCCATTGTAGCAAAAGCTTGAGGATTCACATGTTTCCCAAGGGCTTCAAATATAGTCTGAAAGGAAAAATAAAAAAAGTTAGTTACAGTGATTAAAAGCAACTTTAGTTGCAGAAGTGTTGGAATTCCTTTTTAAAAGTGAGAAAAAATATCACTGAAACATGTCTAAAAATTATTTTGCAAAGTGGGAATGTCACTCTGTGGATTATTAATCAAATACCTTTACGCTGGAATATTTCAGTATAAAACAGCTCTCCACCTAACTTAAACGCTTTTAAGAAACTTTAAAATGCTAACCAGTCGCATTGTGTACCGACGATTCGTAAAACTTTGAAATTAATAACACTTTAAATTGAGATCAAAACTAGATAACATTTCTGAAGAAAAGTCAACTGCACATACAGCTGATTCATAGCTACCACATAGACAAGTAATAGAATTTTACTAAAAGTTTGGAATATACTGTAGGAATCAATCCTTTATGTATATGATATAGATTGAATATATGGTGCTGTATATATTCAGAACAATTAAAGCTGACAAGATGCAGACAACGTTTCATCTTCTTTTTTAAATTTAGTTAAAACAAATTCATAAACCAGTTCTAAAAATATCAAAAGGATGTAGATTCGAAACCAGTAATATACTTGAACCAGTAAACACCTACTGGTACTAAGTATACAAATGACTGATCATAGAGTTTTAGGTAAAGAGAGTAAGTCATACTGTGATAAGAGCTGTCTGCTAGCCAAAATTGGTAGACAGCAATTTACATCAATGTTTACGTCCCGAATCGGGGTCATGAGAAAAAAACAAGAACAAAGACTAACTCCACAACCAATCACAACAGACTTAGTGTGGGCGGATACGATTAGCAGATATATATCAACGGACTGTCTAAGAAACGGCAACAAAGAGATGACAGAATAACCTTCAGCAGGAAAACAACCAATCAGAAGACGTTACCTCTCTGCTAACAATAACGAATAATAATGTACATAAAAATCTATAAATATCTGTTGATTTTCTCAATAAAGGATCTGTTGCCTGGCCCTTGTTTTCTGTCGTTACAATACGATGAGGATGGGATTTTTTAAATGAGGTGTTTTGAATACGCGCTGAACGGCAAATTTTCTGAACTAGTTTGAAGTAGTCAGAGACAGTTGGAAAAAAATATGAGATGAATTCACGACTTGTTGACCAGTCAATTCATTAGTCGAGATTCACGACTTTGAAATAATCGGTCGTGAGATAAAATCACTGCTCACTATTCAGTCCACGGTTTCTGGGTTAACAGAAAGCTAATCGAAGTATAGGCACAATCGAGGAATAGTTCGCCTTACACTTCTAGATAATTCAGGTGATCATATGATGTATTCAGTACCAACCCGTCGATGGAAAGGATACCAAAGTTAGAATTCAATAATAAAAAATACTTACGGGTAGTTTAAGCTGACGAATAACCCCCAATATTTCATTGTTAGTTTCATCTTCTTTTTCTGTTGATTTATCTGAAATAATGTAAGCGACAATGAAAGTGATTCATGACCACAAACAACAGATTGTATTTACTCACACACAAAAATCATGTTACACCAAGTCTGTCACATTTCCTACATAAAGTATAAGGTCCCTACTACATACATTAGTCACAATGATCAGTAGGATTTCTCACTCTTTCTTGATTTCGTTGATTTAAAATGCATGGATAACTTATTTTATGACTACCTTTTAGAACTTGATAATGGTAGTTTTTTAATATCACGGAAATGCTAATTGGTTAGTATACCTTCCTTACTTAATCCTACGTCAATTCCTTATTCTACTGTTGCAATATCGAGACGCTAAAAGTAACACTGTCAGGTTTAAGATTCAAATTCACAATTTGTAACTTACGCAGCTCCAGTGGTGATATTTCACTGTGTTTTCATTTTGGAAACCAAGCTATTCCGATTACAAATATTATGTGAGATTGGCCACAAACAAGCGAAACAGTCGTCCGATGTTTAGATCAACTCGATCTAGCTAACAAGCACTACTGATTGAAATGAGTAGTATGGAACTACTCATCTTAATCAATCAGTAGTATGTAGTTTTATGTAGAACTGATTAAATTTTACTTCATTTATTTTAAATAAGGTATCTGAGCGATAGAATAAACCTTTAAAAACTAATTGAGACTGGCAGACTGGTAAATAAAGGTGTTGCAAGTTACTTTCTTGGACTGATAGAGCCGTAGTTTATTGGTTTAAGCAAACTGAATTTCAATTCTTACATACATAGTCCAAGCCCTTCTTTAATTACTGAAGTATACATAGCTAGCTAATTAAACTAGCTCTCACATAGTAGACAGAAAACTTACTATGTTGTGTAGAAAAATACGCTTGGTTGTTAAATTGGAGATATTCTTACTATCTGACGGCTGGCAAGATATGAAACAGTGTAATGAGCTTATGAGTAGTTTATAATATTAAAATATTCAAGAATTAGTTTGTAGGGATTCTGTTTGTTTCAGGTTGGACTACGGATTGATATCAGTTAGAGAACCACTGAAAACCAGTCGCGAGTCAGAATGGAGATCCCACCGATGACATTGGTTGATGGTCACGTTAAACTCACCAAAATGGTAGAAGTTAGAATTCATGGTCTACTGAATGGGATCCCAGTGGCTGAACGGCATACGAGCTCGTCTTGTAACCGAAAGGTTCAGCGTCCGAAACCACGTGGATGCGTACTGCCGATGAGTCCCAAAACTACGATGAAACAGCTGTCCAGTACTCCCTAGTTTTCAATGGTTCTCTAACTGATATCAATCCATTGGTCAACCTAAAACAAATATTAAAATGCTTTCATCAAATGTCTACATTTTTCAACTTTTGTTTTGAATTACACCACGAATACCAGTTACTGATATTTCATACAGATATGTTAGGAATGATAAAAAAGATTTGTACCTCAAGTAGTGCTTTCGGTGAACTAAGCAATTTATTTTTGAGAATCTTTCATTTCCTCTCTAGACAACATCTTCAGTGCAGTCTTCAGTATGAAGCGAACTTATTGAATTCTCTCTTGACAACCTTGGTTGTGATTGGTTATGAATTTTTACTCAACATTCACAATAACTTCTACATTACATTTTGTTAGATTGTCTACATAAAATATGAGGTTTCTATTGTATAAATTTCTAATTTCCATTGATCTCGTTGATTTAAAATTTATCAATATATTCCCTAATGATCACTTTTTAAAACCTAATTTATTAAAACACCAACGTCTTTGATGACATCATATTTTCGACAGAAGAATCCGGAAAAAAGTCCAATTTTTAGACGTTTCAGTCAAGCGAACAAACACAGGGAAATTAGAAACTCAAGTATACAGAAAATCAACTCATACAGTTCGAATACTTAATTACAACAGTTACAATCCAACAGCACACAAAAGGATTTGTATTCAAAAACTTTTCAGAATCATGACGAACTGCAGTGCTCCTGTCTGACTCGTGGCAACTCGAACTGCTGCACTTCGGTGCCAAGTTCTATGTTGAATCCAGACAGACAGACTCCTGTCTGGCTCGCTACCATTAAAATGGATACCTACGAGACTAAATCAAAAGATAAATATCATCAACTCAACCGATCAACTTAAAATCATTCTACCGTATACGAAGAACATTTCTGAAATCCCTGCAAGACTGTTCAAGTCATTAGGAATCTATGTCACCCGCAAACTAGCAAAATTACTTCAATTTATACTATTTCGACCAAAACGGCGTACCAACAAAAAAGACAAAAACAGATATCATATACAAGGTCAATTGCAGCAACGGTCAAAGACAGTATGTTGGTCAAAGTGGATGTTCTCCCCATCTTCGCACTCACGAACATAATTTTTTCGGTTTTTTTTTTTTATTACAGTTTGATTCCACACCGTATTTTTTGGTACAGGTATGGAATTTTCAGCATGTGATATCGGTAGCCCAAATTTTGCAGGCCAACCATAGATATCGGGTGTGCGTTGGCAGGGGATCGAACCCCGGACCATGTGCATGGTCGGCGAGAGTCCTAACCACTGTGCCACCGACGCACAAATATCTGGTTGTCAAAGGACCTGATATCCACTCTTTCATATCAATCTATGTCGATAGCGACGAACACCAGTTTGACTAAGGAAATGTACAAATCTTGGACGAAGCAAACACCAAAATTGCAAGAAAATTCCTAGAAGCCTAGTACCATGATGAACTTCTGGTTAACCGACATACTAACACTGATCAAATTAATAAACTAAGAAAGTCACGTGACAGCAATAGTCAAATCCCAAGTCAACTAAGACCAATTATTATTATTTCCTTACGTTCCGAGTGGAACATTGAGGGCGTAAGCAGTACACCTCCATTTCATTTTATTATCCACAGTTCTCTCCCCATGATTACCCATATGCTCGTATCTCCTCCTCACACAACCTCTTCCATGTCACCCTCGGGCACCCACCCAATTCGCTGCTTCCTATTCGGGTTCCACTCAAGGGATCGCCTGGTGCCTGACGTTACACTTAACGGTCTTATCATCGTGTATCCGATCCATCTCCATTTTATTCGGCAATGAGTTACTGGTTGTTTTGTTGCACTGCGAGAGTTCCTTGTTGCTAATCTTTTCTGGCCATCTGATTTTCAGTATCAACCGAAGGCAGCTCTTGGAAATGCTGTTTCTGAGGCGCTAAGTATCTGAAGCGTCTAGAACTGATGTTGAAAATCCAAATATTCTTCTTCATGCTGATTGCAGCAGATTTCCAGATTGATTTCAGGGTAGTGAACATCTTACTTTCCCGACCCTACATTCCATGTCCTCATTCGTGTTTCCCGTAGTTAAAATGATGCCACCGAAATATGTGAAAGAAGTGTTCTCGTTCAAATTTCTCCCATTACTAATTATTGGTACTTGTTATTGGTAGCCGGTTGGTTACCTTCATCACCTTTGTCTTCTCTATATACGCTTGAATTCCTGTCTTCATTGCCTTTTCTGAAAACTTGTTGGTTTTCACCAGAAGATCCTCGAGTTTGTGTGACACTAAGCATAAATCATCCGCAGAGTTCAGATAATAATAATAATAATAATAATAATAATAATAATAATAATAATAATGGCTTTATTCCAAACAGTATTTGTGGTACAGGTATGGAATTTTCAGCGTTCATTACAATATTGCATCTAATTACCTCATAAATTTTATAAGGATTTAGTAATATAAAGCAACAACAACAAAAAGAAAAAGAGAAATAAAAGAAATAAAAAAAGAACAGCATTGCATTCACATATTTAAACAATGCACCACAGGATATGATATATAAAATTAGTCTGTAATAGAATATATGAGCAACAATATAATAGTAACAAAGAAAGGAGAACAAAAGTTAATGGAAACTATTTGTTAGAGTGCTGCAGTAAATTGATCATGTCATGCCTAACAGTTTTCTCATCACATAACAACTGTGCCAAATAAGGTATTGTGGAGTTTTTATACTTGGTAGTCCTGGCATATAGCTTCCTATAGTTGCTTCTAGTTCTACCAGATGAAATGCAAGGAGAGAGCTGCGTATGGAGAGGGTGTTCGGGTTTTCTTATCGGTTCAACATACTCCTGTTTTCATGCTCCCCATGGAGCTTACTAGTTCACTAACCAGTCTAAAACCCAGAAAAAGAAGTAACGTTAGGAGAAGGTTAGCGACCCTGTCCCGGAAAATTAACCCAGTCGCTACAGAAATTCAATGTTCAACTATGAACAACACTAATTCGAATCAACAGCCAAGATCGTCAAGAGAAACCGTCACATCATTCATTGCGAATTCAAATAAGTTCATTTCATATTTAAATCTGTGCCGTTTAGAAAGGCAGTGAAAGAGAGTACAACAGCACCTATGTTACATTGTAACTGAAGAAAGCAGTAATCGAAGTGTAGTTAAAAGATATCTAAATAACTTTTCATTAAAATTATTCTGATTTTGATCAGGTGGCCAGAAAAGATGAGCAACAGGGATCTCTGGGAGTAAACCAACCAGGAACCAATTGTGCTGGCTGGCTGGCTGGATTCAACATAGAACTTGGCACCGAAGTGCAGCAGTTCGAGTTGCCACGTTCCAAATAGCACACAAAAGTAGACAAGAAAATAAGTGAAGAGAATCAATAGAGTTTTGACGAGTATAAGAGTGAAACAGAATAAGTAATGGTAGAAAGGAATATGAAAGTTTACAGAGACTGAATACATCTGCATAAGCCATTGACAACGATTTTGAGCCATGTCACCTATTGTCTCCAGCCATTGATTCTTAGAGTCCCGAGGGCCCCAACCTGGAAGTCTGCATCTCCCTCCCTACCTGACTCAGTTCAACTGTCAAGGATTTCATGGATTGATGCCATGTTTTTGTTTGGCCACCACTTACTCTTTTCCAACCTGCACCTATATCAGCTAGTAATGCCCGTCAGGGGAGGCGATGGCTGGGCATGCGCAGTACGTGACCTAGCCATCTCAATCTATGTAACTTTATAGCCTCTTCGATTGATTTCCCCTCTTTGCCCAACACTCTACGCCTAACGTCAACATTACTTACCTTATTATACCACCTAACGTGAGAAAGAGATCGTAGACATCTATGATCAAAAACAGTCAACCTTTTCATGTCTTCAGCTCGTATTGGCCATGTTTCAGAGCCATAGAGAAGAACGGAGCGAACTGCTGAGCAGTACACAAGTCCCTTGGTTGATAGTCGGATGTCACGCCTACGCCAGAGGTGGTGTAAGTTAGCGAAAACAGCTCAAGTTTTTTGGATCCGTGCTGAGATTTCGTCACCAATCAATCCGTTGGTGCTGATACAACTTCCCAAATAGGTGAAGTGTTCAACATGTTCTGTCACTAAGCTAGGAGTTGACGTTTACATTTTACAAGGGCGAATCGCATGCCAAACATACGAAGATTGCTGTTCAAGGTGTTCAGAAGACTCTGCATTTTGTCAGCATCCTCCCCTAATAGGACAATGTCCATAAGACTATTCCCTGGTAACAAGTCGATTCCTAAGTCGTTAAGTTCAGTTAAGGATACTTCCATTAGCATATCTATGATGAAGTTAAACAGAAAAGGGGGAAGTGAACATCCTTGACGGACACCACTGGTTGTTATCAATTAAGATGACAATTCCCCATAAGCCCTTACACGACTACACCAATTGTGCTACAAATATGCACGAAGAAATGGAGGTGGATTGGTCATACTCTGAGAAAACAAAGCATCAAGAGACATCACCCGCCAAGCTGTCGCTCTCGTAAAACCCGAATAGGGAGCGGCGAGTTGGTCGTCAGTGCGAGGGTGACATGGAGGATGTCGTGCGAAGAGATGAAAGCATGCGGGCAGACGTGGAGCTAGATGAAAACGTTGGTGAAGAACCAAACGCAATGGAGACGGGCGGCTGAAGCCCTATGTTTCTCTAGGAACTAAAGGAAACAATAATAATAATAAATAATAAAATTATTATATTTTGCAGCATGCTTACCAAAAAGATTATGCACAGGTAGTGAAAAATGTGCTTCTCTTAATTCTTTTGCACGTCGAATAGATTCTGATGAGGCACTTGGACGGGTTTGAACATACCGCTTCATTGCATTGATACACACTTTTTTCATTGATTCCTGTAGAGCATAAGATATAATTTACCAAAAACAAAACACTGCTACACATAAGCGAATAATTACCAGACCATCAGGAAATCAACTTTTTATCTGCAAAACTTTTCCAGTAACTAGCCAATTAGTCTCAAATATCCTGGAATCTAGTTGACAAAGGTGTCCAATCATTTAGTCTTAATACCGGCAGGCTGTGTAAATGATTTAAGTTGACCAGATCAATGAAAAAGCCCTATTCAGATAGGTAGTTACCTGGGGTTCCAGTGGGAAGTCGTGACCAGTAGGGTGCAGCAGGTCGGGTATGAGGACAAATACTCGCCGAAGACATTGGCTAGCGGTTGCGCTATATCGTGAATTGGCAGAAGTTAGAGTTCATGGGCTGGCCATTGGATCGGGTCCCAGTGGCTTAATCGTATACGAGCTCTCTCACCTTGTAACCAGAAGGTCCTGGGTTCGGACCTCGGTGGTGGGTGCGTATTGATGAAGAGTCCCAAACTAGGACGAAACAGCTGTCCAGCACTCCCAGCTGGTTTTCCAATGGTTCCCTAACCAATGTCAGCTCATGATGGAATCCTGTAACCAATCAACCAAATCCCTACAAACCAATACTTGAAAAAGCATTCTTTCAGTCACCCATGTCAAACGCTAGACAAACATTCACATCCAGATAGCATACTTACTTAGGATAGATATACACCATCGAATCACTGAATTGTTACTCAACAATATGTGATGACAAAAGGCTATTCCGGAACAGTTTTGTAAACAATAGTGTTTTATTTTGAATACCAAGGCTGCTGTGGAGTAAATTTCCTTCCCCACCTTCAATCATTACTCCACTACAAACCATAAGACAATGCTTCCGGGAGACGTTTTACAGCTTTATGATACTTAGAGAGAGAGTGCAGTTCAGAAGGGTAGAAAAAGCATCTTACTGAAAACATAAGAACATGGTATTTTGGGGGCTAGTCCATCGATTTTGATCTGAATGATATGGTATATGCAAGGTGTAATTTTCATTAACAGTTGTCTTCGCTCAAGATGGCCAGATCAGCAACAGGGATCTCTGGGAGCGAACCAACCAGGAACCGATTGTTAAACAAATAGGCAGGAAGAAATGGAGATGGATTGGCCATACTCTAAGGAAACAAACCATAAAGTGACATCACTAGACAAGCCATTGCTCGAGTGGAACCCGAAAGGAAAGCGGCGAGTTGGTCGTCAGTGCAAGGGTGACTTGGAGGAGGTCATGTGAAGAGGAGATGAAAGCGTGTGGGCAGACTTGGAGCCAGATGAAGACTCTAGCAGAGAACCGAACGCAATGGAGACGCACGGCTGAAGCCCTATGTTCCTCTAGGAATTAAAGGAAACAATAATATAATAATAAGGTGTAATTTGTTTCATACTTTGTGGTCGAACCGAATATAACACATACAAAACCATTGATGCATAATAAGAGGTGAGAAAAGAAACCAAATTTCAATTTATACACAATCAAAAAGATTACTCCAGCATAAAACATACAAGAGAAGCATTTTCCGTAGAAACATATTGAATGCGAGTAGTTAGATTACTTATTACACTTCTTGGTGCTCTACCAACACAATCTTTTTCCCAATCATCTTGTTCGCCAACTGGTTGACATGTTTGCCATTCCTTGCCTAAAAACATTAATACATCCATAAGATAGGGTAATTCTTCTGTATCAACTAAAGAATATGCATTGCCACTTCGACCGGCACGAGCAACACGACCTAATAAGACAAAACACACAAGAAAAAACATTTAAAGAAAGAATCCAGGTGAAGTACAAAGAAAATAGAAATTTTGAAGGAGAATAAGAAGCTAAACAATTATAGCAATTTAATTTAATACAGTAATTCATATTGAAAAAATTAATATTTGAAACATGTGCTTTGCAATGAAATAAATAATACTGTGCTTATCCATTAAAATACACAACTTAAAAGGATTTTAGTGGGTGCATCTTACTTGCATTATGGATAAAATTTTATTTTGATAAAATCGGAAAATGAACAAGGAGAATTAGCTATATTAGATTGTAAAATAAAACGAATAAAAGAAGGTAGACTGCACACTATCTTTCATAAAAAGCCAACCCATTCTAATAGACATTTAGACTTTAATTTATCTCATCCGTTATCTATAAAGGCTGGCTTAGGTGTCTAACAAACTGAGCAATAGCAGTAAGGAGCACAAGAAAAGACCTATATGATAAAATAAAACAGATAGAAGCGTTGGTGTTAAATAACTATCCTTTAAAATTCATTAAGAATACCAAAAAAGGTCAAAAGCAAAATAAAAATAATGGTGAAACTAATAATGTTAACATACATAAGAAAGAATAAAAAGGCATCAGGAGTTTTACCATATAAGGAGGGGACATCTGAGACCCTACGTAGAATTCTCAATATAGCAGGAATTACGGTGGCATTCAAACCTACAAACTCACTCAGAGACTAGCTCTGTAGGCTAAAGGACCCGGTGGACCCAATTAAATAAAATAATATAATTTACAAAATACCCTGCAATGACTGTGAGTTAAGTCAACTACATCGGTCAAACTAGTGGATGAGGAGTAGTCAGATTATCAGAATATAAGAATTTAGCTAAGGTTAGAATGATTGATCCCACGAAGATAAGATATTTAAAAAAAAACTCGGCAATCTCACTGTATGCATTAACATACAACCACACAATAGGGTAGAACAGAGTCGAAATTTTAAGAAGTAATATAGGTAGGTGGAAAGAGAGAGAGAGATTGATTACTGAATCCTGCCTGGTTCATCGAGTCTACACCCAACACATGCAATAGAAGTGACTCAACGCAAATACTAGACATATGGAAGATATCATTACCACCAGTCAAATCAGGGGATAATAAATAATGTTAAAATGTATTCAATTCACATTATAACATTCTAACAAGTTACTTATTTTACTATAAAAACATCTTATTTCCCATCTTATTGTATGTTATTGATAACACTAATAGTGGTTCCGAATGTACTTTATCTTTCTTTCTCTTTCACGCAAGTTCTATATTGATTTTATTCAAATGTTTAATCAATTTTTACTCATGTATGTAAACGACGTCAGTGTTGTGTGTAAGTACCTTGATATGATTATGAGCAACAATAAATTGTGCTCGAAACATGGTCGTCAGTAAATATTACTGTATAACACTGTGTGATTTTATCAAAATAACATCTTATCCATAATGGAATTATGCTCTACCACAGTGCTCTAGTTTTATTCTTATATCAATAGTGCATATTACTTTTTTTGTGATACATCACGTATGCAGTACAGTGAACTGTTCAAACATTACCTATCGTCAAAAATGATGAGAATTAGGTGAAATAATAATTTGAGACTGCATGTAACCGATCATCAAGTTTAACTGGTATCAGGATTGATCACGAGAAGTAAGAAAAAGTAACCAGCGGGGAGCACTAAGTCATGCAAGAGGACAGTTACTCGCCTGTGCTAAACATGTCACTAATTGGCAGAAGTTGGAATTCATGGGTTGGCCATTGGATCGGGTCTCAGTGACTTAATGGTCTACGAGCTCGCCTTGTAACCGGAAGTTTTTGGGTCCGAACTCTAATGTGTGAGTGCTGTCGAAGAGTCCCAAACCAGGAAGAAACAGCTGCCCAGCACCCTCTGGTTTTCCAATGGTTCTCCAACTGATCAATCCTTTTACGTTATCATTTAGATTTTAGGGAAAGCCTAATTTTCCTACAGATTTCAATTAGTTCCACAGGCTTCAGGGTACAATGCAGCAGTTTAGGTGAGAAAAGATATGCGAAGGTGAAACGTGACAGTAATCTCAAACAAAAAGCTGACATAAATAATACAAATTATATGAAGTCAAAAATAAAGACAGTCGCATCATAGAATACATATAGGTTAATGACGATGTTACATGTAGCCGCATTACTAATTATGTTACTCCTGTAAAGTACTTTACTCCTGTTTTCATACACGAAACAACGGTTAAAGTTTTCATGAAATACTCTTCTAATTTCAATAGTTAGATTTCGTAACGAACCGACATCAGTTAGAGAGATCACTGAGAACCATGGAGCAGCGTACAGCTGTCCTGTCGTATTTTGGACTCTTCAGAAGCGCACACTCCGACTCAACCAGGTAATAAACTCGGGACCTTCAGGTTATGAGACCAAGTATACTGACCGTCCAGCCGCTTGGGCCGCGAAATTCAATAACCCGTGAGTGCTGAATCCGTCAACTGAGGACAAAATTTAGCAATTGAAATTAAATTAATCCAAATCCTCACGAATAGCGTAATGTAAATCTTAATTTCCAGCCCACTTATGGCTACTGTATAGGTCTCCTGAAGTTGTATTGATGAGATATGGCCAGTGGGATGTACCATATCAAAATTTTAGTGGATGTCCATGGAAGGCATCAATGAGGGTAGAAGGTAAATGTGACAGAAAGGTAGGATTCACAGGGCATTGAATTCCCCGCCCAAGTGTCTCAGTGGTCAACAAACTTGGACCGATAAACTGAACGTCGTAGGTTCGATCACTAGTTTGGGTGTGAACGTGCACCATTGAAGAGTACCAAATAGGACGAAACAGCTGTACAGTGCTCTAACTGATGTTGGTTCACGGCGAAATCTAACAATTGAAATTAAATTAATGCAGATTCCCACAAATCTCATAAACATAAAAAGAATCCATGTAAAATGTTAAGTGTATTTACCAGAGTTATTACACTAAACACTCAGGTTAAACAATTATACTCACCTACTCTGTGTAGAAATAATTTAGGTTGAGCAGGAAAATGAAAATTGATAATATTATCCAAAAGTGGAATATCTACACCTCTAGCTGCCACATCGGTGACAAGTAATGCACGAACTTTTCCTGAACGAAACTTTTTCAAAGAAATATTTCTTGCATTTGGATCTAATCCTGAATGAATAGCTGCACAATTGAAGCCAAGGTCACTTAACAACTGTAAAAAAAGTGATACATGAATTTAAGAATTTCATGAACTTATGAAAACTTTAGTACTTATTATAAAAAAATTCACATAGAATGACAATTAATTGGTCGAAAGCTTAAAAAAGTAAAATCATTTGTAGAAAGTTCAACAGATCACACCTGTAGTGTCACGAATGCTGTCTAAACCTTGGCAGGTGGAAAACGACTTAAATTACTGATTGATTAGTAAGTGCATCTATGTGAGGACTTTGTATTACAATATTCAAAAGGAACTTATAATGGAATCCCTAAAATCTTTATGCTTAGGATACCCTAATGCACACGTACTTTTAAACAACACACACTAACTTGTACTAGTATATTTTCGCCCAATATTAAGTCAGCAAAAACCAGTTATATGTACTAAGTTAGTTACTGAGATCTCTATTACCCTGGATAGACTTACATTACATCTACTTATTTTTTATTCCTTCACGTTCCCAGTGGAACATAGGGCTTCAAGCTAGAGGCTTGAAGTTTCTTTAGCAGTGTTTATTTTTACAGGATGAGATTGCTAGCCTCGTGCCCAACCTTTCCCCTTTACCAGCTTTATTTCTGGCTTAGCGAGGTAAAGGAGTGCGTCGGCCGGGGATTGAACCCCGGACCATGTGCATGGTCGGCGAGCGACCTAACCGCTATGCCACCGACGCACACACACCTACCTATTAATCACACTAAACGTATAAGCGCTCATGATACTAATCGGTCGTTCACGCTGAAACAGACAAGAGGGTTTCGAGCCTGGGACCCGTTGGCTGGAACCTGAGTGTTTACACCAGTAGCTCACATCTCTCTATCCTCTGTTGTTTAAAAACCAACTGGGTTCGATGTGGAGTAAAAGGATTTTTTAATTTCCTGCATATATGCACCTTTCATAATGTATAGTCATTAAAAATAATAACGTTTTTACTACATAATTAAAACTAGAAGGGGTAGAATCAAAAGGCGTAAACTATGCTATCGTTTTCGACTGCTTCATCTCAGTGGCTGTGGTCAGTAAATGGTGATTTTGTTATCACCTAATTTATAAAATGAAAATGATTTTTACAAAGAATTCAGCAACACATCACATGCTCATGATAGAAGATAAGAGCTGTTATTCGATAAGTTAATAACCTAGTTCAACAGTGTTAACAATTATGGAAACTATGTAAAAGTGAAGTAACTTACCACATGAAAGAATTCAACATGATGTTTGGTGGCGAAAAATATAACAGCTTGTTCATTACTAGGTATTACTTTACTCAACAGATGTACTAGAATGGCATTCTTTTCTTCCGGTAAGCAGGAAATATGCGCCAGCTGAGAGTAATTAGGAAGAAAATATGCATTTAATAACGCCATTTAATATGGGTGAATATGAGGCTAATACAATCAACCAAACGATTTCACATAATTTTAAAACAATCGCCACAGGTGGTGAGAAACACAAATTAGGTGGGGAACGACACAAAGAAATGTTCAACAAAAAGGTAGGCAGAGCAAGGGATGAAAAAATTTGACATTAAACAGTTTACCTCTTGCAGTCAAACCAGACGTGGAAGTATGATTGATTGACTTAAGGACTTCACTTAAATACAACAGTTCTCAGGTTTCCAAGTCGACTTCAACTGCTTCGGAAGCCAGCAAGAGATGAACAAAGTAACAACGTAACGTAACATTTGAAAAAACTGTGTGGAGTTTATGGCTCATTAGCTTAAGTATTCCTTTTTCAGTCGACTGGCCCTAGGTTCGAAACCCACTCCACTGGCTTCAACCTGTGCATCTGGAAAGTGTTTTCATCTCTTACAAAATAAGTGTCTTTGTGTGAGTTCAAATAAAACATAAGATGTCATTGCTTTTGAAAAACACATAATAACTTGAATACTGTAATTACTGATGAAAACACATGTGCTCAAAAAATAACAAAACCGAATATGAGTTTAAACAATTATCATGTCCCACTTTTCATCCACTAAAAACATAGTGGCCCCTATGATGCGAGCTGTACGCTATTGTTTAGTGTTTAACTGATTTGATCAACAGAATGTTTTCAAAATAAATAAGCAAGTAGCATCATAAGTCATGAAATAAAGAATGACTCCCAGTCTACTGTTTGTACTTCCACAGTGTTGCTGAGATACGTGTTCGGTCACAATTTAATTACTTATTTCTCTTGAGATTATCACTCAAATACACACCAAATACAACCTTGATTAAGTATTAGTTTGTAATTTTTCTTAGCTTAATAAATGGAAAATTCTTTGTTCACACTCTATGCTTTCGCTTCATGCGTACATTAGAACCTCAGTTCGTGTCCAAAAAATATCAGTACTCTTATCAACTCTTTCATATACCAGTAAATTGCAGATGATATTGATTTTGGAACGATACGTTAATTCAAACTTTCAAAATGTAGAAAATGGAAAAATAGGCGTCCATTTGTTAATCATTTTTGTAGTTTTTTTCAGACACTGTTCACTGAAAAAGCAGTCCTAAATTACTCAGTTATTAGCATGACTTTCTATCTGCCTAAATCAACTACAGGGAAATTACCTTAATTGCAACTATCAATGTCATAAATGAACGACTTATTCATTTATTATACGGATGCCACAAGGGTTAGAGTCTACTTTAGTCTCTTACAGTATAGTATATGATTGCTAAAAATAATAGTGCTATGGTAATCTACAAGAGAAGCGGTGGACATATGATCAAGAGAATTTGAACTTTATTTACCTACATAAGTATATATATATATATATATATATATGATCAGCCGCTATGTTCTCAAATGAAACAATTAGAAGTAATACGTTACTTCTTTATGAAAGAGTACACTGCAAGATAAACCAGTTAAAATTGAAAAGGTAGTGAATATTTCTTAGGGAAAAAAAATCCGAGGGAAACTAAGTACAAAACAATTACTCAAAATCGTTATGTTGCAGGAGGATCACAAAGAATGTTCCTAAATATACGAACTACGAAGATAGTTGAACAAATAAAACAAACTGGTGTAGATAGTTTCGCTACCCACAACAATGGTTTAAACAAGCCTAGGAACAGTCACTAGAAGACCCATTTTAGACTGTTAACAATGAACATTAAATAAAGAGGAAACTAACACTAGATTAAACATGTATTCGCGTCACAGTGTATTCAAAAATACGGTCAAATGGCCTACCTTTAAATTTTGACTTAGTTTAGAGTTTACGTCTAATCGAATAAGCACAGGATCTGATAAACCAGCACGTGCAAATTCAACCAAATTTTTGGGCAGAGTTGCGGAAAATATCACTGTCTGACGAGTTTGCGGTAAACGCTTTAAGGTTTCTGAAAGTTGCTCTGCAAATCCAAGCTCGAACAACCTGAAAAAGAGAAGACCTAAGGGTAATCAAATCAACGAATGTGTGGTTTGCTCAATAAGTTCCAAATTGCTGGATTATTTAGTAACTTCATTTTGAAAGTTAACGACAACCATGTTCTAAAAGGAATATACTCAAACAGGCTGGAAAATACCATATTAGTTATTTTATTAGATGTATCACACAATGAAACAGTTTTACTTACTGGATGACGTTTCGAACAAAATTTATTGTTCATAATCATTTCATCAATTATAATCACAAGACTTCGAGACTTGAGTTTTATAGTTTTCTATAAAATCATAAAACTCAAGTTTCGAAGTCTTGTGATTATAATTGATGAAATGATAATGAACAACAAATTTTGTTCGAAACGTCATCCAGTAAATAATACTGTTTCACTGTGTGATACATCTAATAAACAAACTAATATGGAATTACTTACTACCACAGTGCCCAAGTTTTACTCATGTTTTAATAATCTTCAAGTATTGGTTTTGCAGGGATTTAGTTTGATTAGATGGATGAATTCATCATGAGCTGACATCAGTTAGAGAACCACTGGAAAACCTGGGAGTACTGGACAGCTGTTTCGTCCTAGTCTGGGACTCTTCATCAGTACGCAGTAAGGCTGGAAAATAAGATGACAAGGCTTGTTTATTCAACTAAGCCTATATTTTTAAGGAGTGAATCGATTAGCTAATTTTCATAACTATTTACTGGGTATACAGGTAAGAAAACTGAGTCCCAACACAAACGAACAACTTAACGTCCCCAGTATCGTGTGTAAGTCTTATCCGCTGAATCCCATTTCTTTTATCTTTCTAGTGAACTGATGAAGTGTGACAACCTGAAGTGATGAACAGTTATACAAAATTCGAAGTTGCTTCTTCAATCAGTTACACATAAATACTCAGACGCCGTCTAACATCTAATAGGCATGAGTCATGCTAAACCCAAAGTCCTGGACATCAAATTGAAAGGACTAACCTTTTGTCAATCCCTCACTTCGAAAGGTCATGGAATTTACGAAACATCCGATTAAGAAGTTGACACTAAAATTTTCACCAGAACGTCAAGGGAATGTTTAAGAAATGTTTGCACAGAATTTTCACGAAGGTTGGAGCAAATTGCTCCACGAAAAAGCTCTGCATTAATCCTTTTATAACTAATTACAGCTACAAAACTGCAAGTAATGTACTAGGCTCTCACGAACTTAAAATCAATTAGGAGAGAAATCCTTTTTACAGTTCAGTGAATGTCAGAAACAAATCCTGGATTTTAAAATATCGAAATGTTGTCGCCTAAATACGTGCCTAGTCAGGAGTGAAAACTTTTTGACTACATCAAATTCCTGCTTTTGTATACTAACCAGTCTTCAACCGTCTTCATATTCTTAGAATGCAGCAAATAGACATATACCATAGGATGTTCGGCCTAATGCTACAATGTGATCAAGTAAAAAACAAGGAGGATACTGCACGTATTCGACTGACTGATACATAGTCACAAAATAGGGAAACCAACTTAATAATGTTAATTTCAAACAATAAGTGTGTAATAAAATTTCAATTAGGTGAGGCATTCACTATTGGCACTATCAATTAAAAACTTGAGCAAATTACAATAACTGGTTGATCTAATGTACTCACCGATCACCTTCATCAAAAACCACGTATTCCACTGATTTCAGAGACAAGTTCATTTCCATAATGACATGCAGGAAACGCCCGGGAGTGGCAATAATTCTATAACACATTAGTATAACCGAAACTACTTACATATCAGGAGAGCTATGCAAAGCCGCGAATTGCTCCTCCATTCTAAGAATCTAATTTGAGTAGCAATATTCCTTACCTGTCGCCTCCAAGTATTATTGTAGCTTTCAAGGGCGCGAACCGACCAAGCTATCATATAAGTATATAAAGTTTGAATTACCTCTTTTGTAAAATTTAGGGTCTGGATAGCTAATTCCCTAGTTGGACTCATGATGAGAGCACGAGGCCCAGCAGGTGAATGGCAAGGGAATTTCTCGAAGAGCGGTACTAGAAATGCTGCTGTTTTACCACTTCCTGTGCGTGCCATGGCAACAACATCGCGGCCCGACAATATCAGTGGTATAGCCTGAAAAACGTCATAAAACGCGAGTATTACCTTTCTTTGTATTGGTGTTGGTACTTTGTAGCCCTTTTTCATTATCCCATTGAAAGTTGTTGCACTCAGACCCATTGACTGAAATCCACCAGACTTTTTCTTCTTACGATTCGCCTTTGTAACAAGTTGTCTAGCTTCCGTTGTACCAAAATCATCATCCGTATCTTCTTGGTCCATCCTATTCACGAGCACTGCGACCTTGAGTTTGAAAGTCCCCGACGCAGAGACAACACTTAGAAAGTCCAATATCCAATATCGTTTTTGCGAGCCAGTATAAGCCAATTTGATTTCTGTGTGCTCGCCTCTTGATTGTGAGGCAAGGGTTCCTGATCCTTAGTAAACTTCTGCGTAGCTCGTCCCGCCACTCGACTGCCGTAGCTCTGGTTGACTCCAAAAGGAGTAGTGCTGGGATTAATTATATGTGGTTTGTAGCATGAGGTGTTAAGACTGTTACTACTGTGAATGGAGTTGATCATTTCACCAGTTGGTCCTCCGGTATCGTCTTCAAAAGAAAAGAGCTAATAATAGACATAATTAGTGAAGTTATTCAGACTAACAGACAGATAAAGAAATAAGAAAACGTAACAACAGTCAGCTGACTAAATTTGAAGAATAATATGGATAATATATATCGATAATAATGACAATAATATGTGTAGTCAAATTTGTCAGAAGATTAAGCCGGGAGAGAATGTAAAGAAGTGAAACGACGAATTTAGTTGTCTACCCCTGAACGGTGTATAGGATTTTAAGGGGATAGGCCATTTGGACGCAGTCCTTGTGTCGCTGCATGATTTTCCAGCCTTCGCTTAAAGGCATCCACAGACGGTGCCGTAGCTACATCTGCCGGTAAGGAATTCCAGGGACGGCAAACCCACAGGGAAAAGAAGTGGGAGCGCACCCGGGTGCTTGCGCTCGGATGAGCTATCATTCTGGGATTTCCACGAAGGAGCCTATACCTACTCAATGACATTTGTTATTTTGTAGGCAGTAATTAAACCCCCCTAAGACGACGGTAGATAAGCGTGAATAGGTCTAATTTCTTCAGCCTTTAATCATATGGTTTGTTTCGGAGACCAAACAGTCCTTTTGTTGCCTGTCGTTGGACTGTTTCCAAGAGGTTGGCGTCTCTTCTAAACAGTGGGGTGCAATGATATTATGCAATCCAAGGTGTGGTCTGACATATGTTTTGTACAACCTTAGAAAGAGCCCAGGAGTGAGTGCATCCAACTATCTGTGTGCAAAGTGTATGACCGCATATGCCCTCGCTACATTCCCCGTGTAATTTACGCTTGTGTCCATTTTTTCCTTTAGAACTACACCTAAGTCGCACTCCGACGTTGTGCATAACAAGCTTTCGTTACACAGGGTTTAACTTGCATTCTGAAGTCTACAGGTGCGTAACTTCACTACTTTGCACTTTTTCAGGTTGAAAGTCATGCCACTGGCCACCGCCCAGTCTTCCTGAAGGTTTAGATCTTCCTGTAGCCTATCTGAGTCCTCCAGACACTTCATCGCCCTCCATATCTTCACGTCGTCAGCGTGTAGAAGAGTCGGGCAGCTTAGACGGCATGGTAGATCACTGATAAAAATCAAAAACATCAATGGTCCCAGGGTAGAACCCTACGACACTCCTGATGACGAGCTGCGCGAAGATGATTGGACTCGATTGACCTAAGTGCATAATTGCCTTTCAGCTAGGTAGTCCTTTAACCATGACAGAAGTGGCTTATCTATACCTGCCTGGCTTATTTTGTGTAGGAGAAGGTCATAGTGAACGGTGTCAAATGCCTTCTCAAAGTCTAGGAATACCACATGGACTGGAACATTCATATCCCAGCATGATGTCCAATCGTCCCAAGCTGATAGTAGGCTCGTTACACAGGATCTCCTCTCCTGAAACCGTGTTGGGCTTCATGGGGTATTTTAGACTTATCCAGATATTCCCTGATGTGATCGTCAATAATACTTTCCAGTACTTTTGATACCACTGGGAGTAGAGCTACTGGTCTCTAACTAGTGGCATTTTGCCTATCCCCACCCTTGAAGATCGGAGAAAGGATGGCTCTTTTCCACACCCTTGGCAGTTCCCTTAAATCCATTCAGCGTTGGAACAAGTGGCATAAGGGCTTACAGAGAGCTTCGGCACACTGTTTCAGAGAACAGATGACCTGATATCGTCACAACCTGGGGACTTTCCTTGTATTACTCTACTCGATTTGATTGTGGTAGTGGAAAATGAGCCATTAGTCTGAGCAGATTGGGACCGAATACTTTCAAATAAGCCACGTCATCTCAAAAAAATAGCCGGATGTTACAAGCTTCTTGTTTCTTCAGGAGTAAACTATGACATACCTTGTCGAGTGCCTTCTTAAGATCAGTGTGCGTAATATATAAAACGAATTTTTACCCGGTGGGTCCAGTGATAGAGTTGGATAATCTTCAGTGGCGTGTCATGAGTGACCTGGACCTGATAAATCCATGCTGAAAAGGTGCTACAAGAAGTCAGTGATTTTAGCACTAATTGTCTCAAGCAACCTTAACAACACAGACGTCATTTAATGGGCTTATAAATCTTTATGTCATTTTTTGAACCAGATATAAATCTGGGGATGATATATGTCTGCTTCCATGTGGGAGGATCTGCTCTATTTGCAACATTGAAAATACTTTAAGCAAGAGGAGAGGGAGATCGGAGTCATCATACTTTGGGAGAGCTGATGGAACTGAGTCAGTTCCTTCATTATTAGAGAATTCAAGGGAACTGACTACACCTTTCGAAACATCTGGGTAAAGCCTAAATTTGACACTGTTTTGCCATTAGCAGAGTAACGTCTGGCGTAGAACAACGTTATTGCAACTAATCAGTGTGCTTTGGAGACATAAACAACAGAGTTCTTGGGGCATGTCGTTGATAGTACCAGGATTGCACCAATACCCAATGAGGTGAGTAACATCAAACAGTATCCTCTACCCAATTAACTGACTCATATCCGGAGTTTTTGCGTTGATCAATTTCTATCGACGCTTTATACTTAATTGCACACAATGGATAAAGTCTCCGACTGATGCATTAAGAAGAAAACTAAAAGATTTTCAGTTATCAAAAGAGGTATCCGATGCAATTGCACAGTATACCACTCTCAGGCTAATGGAGTGGTAGAACGCTTTTATCGACAAGTGAACACTGCATTGACATTTCACTCTAAGCCCACTCACTTAACGGAATTCCTGCTAAACAGATTATTCAGCTTTTCTAGAAGGTAATGGGAATCCATTCGTAAGATTATCCAATTGCTTGATAGAGCAAAAAATTGTAAACAGACAATTTTTAATGACCTTTCACGTGATACGTGATTCGATAATACACAAATCTCATTTCAGGATGTAGTTTGGACATTCATTATTAACCGTCAGGCTATTGGCTCAGCTTTAATTCCTCGAAAGTTATAGCCCCAAAGCCTGCTAGCATCTACAATTACGAAACAAGCCACTAAATACAACCATTGTTAGTACAAATATTCTTCTGCAGAACCTGTAAAACTTTTGTCTAATCAAATGGTCCGTTTCACATAAAACTGGAAAAAATAGGTATTCTGCAAATCATGTGGGTGTAAAAACACTAATTCCAGTGCATCATGCATGCGTCGGTGGCACAGTGGTTAGGACTCTCGCCGACCATGCACATGGTCCGGGGTTCGATCCCCTGCCGGCGCACACCCGATATCTATGGTCAGCCTGAATTTGGGCTACCGATATCCATGCTGAAAGTTCCATACTTGTACTGAAAAATACGGTGTGGAATCAAGCTGTAAATCAAAATAAACAAAAAATAAAAATACATAAACACTCTTGTTAAATTAACGTTATACAGAACTATGCGCAAACGAAATGACACCTAGTATACCCGCACAGGTGGTGGAAATTTTACTTGAACAGTCAAATTATTACCACATTTGATGACATCAAGATAAGGAACAATTATTTAAACACATTTGGTACATACTATATTTCAATGCACCTATTGACCATACTCATATAAAAGTTGGAGAAAATTTGATGCGGTATCCTATGGCTTTGTTTATTCTAATTGTTCTCCCATTCGTTGGATGTATGAAATCCTACTGTGCCGTTCTACTTGCTAGTTGAAAGGGGACAGAATCAAATCTTTATCCGACCAGCCTGGCTCTTGGTATTGCCCGTGCGGAAGCTAAGTAGGGCATGATACAGTATCCTAAGTTTCGGACAGGTATATTCTGATAACATTAGTCGCTTCCGACGTTTTGCCTTGAGAGTCTGTGAAGCTGCTGCGTTGACAGTTTGTAAGCTACGGCAGAGAATGTGGACACAGCCAAATGACATTCCAGATGACTTGGAATTGGCGGGGAAAATTACTGGCCCTTCCCTTCTTCCCATTGATATTTCCGTTTCCGTTTCTCTGAACACGTATTACTTAGAATTATCAAGGACAACTAGCCTTTTCATGTATTCAACTTTCAATGCCAGTGTCTCACATCCATAAAGGAGGATGGAGGAAACTGCTTAACCGTATACACGTCTTTTCGTCTACAGCCGGATTTCACGCCTACAAAAAAGATGATGTCAGTTGGTAAATACGTGAACGTTCTGTATCCGTTCTAAAATCTCATCAGCGATCAACACTTTGGGGCTGATGCAACTTCCCAAATAAGTGAAGTGATCAACACGCTCAGCCACCATCCCACTCCCTATTTTTAAGCTAGGAGTTGATGTAGTCCGGTCCTACGTCATCATGTTATACTTGGTAGGGGCGAATCGTATGCAAAACATTCTCAGATTGCTGCTCAAGGTGTTCAGAAGACTCTGCATTTTGTCAGCGACTTCATCTAGGAGGACTATACTCTCCGCACAATCTAAGTCAAGGAGATTATTCGTCCCATGGCAACAAGCTAATCACTGAATCTCTAATGTCAGTTGAAGTTAAGTGCATTAATACATCTACAATGAACTAGACAGAAACAGGGACAGAAGGCATCCCTGAAGGATACCACTGGTCATTGTCGCTTCAGACGCTACTTTTCCGTAGGCTCTTACCTGGCTGACTACATGAGTTCGAGTTGAGTGCCTTAATCAGCGTAATGTACTTTCCTGGAATTTTCTTCACAACCAGACTTTGCCATAGTAACACTTGATGGCAGCCTGTCAACAGCCGTGATTTCGTTTGCCCATGAGTGAGAT